CCCCCCCCCCCGCCCCATATCCGGGACCCCCCCAGGACAGCACAGCGGCCCCACCCGGCGCGGAGGGTAAAAGATATGAAATAAAACTATCTTACCCCCCCTGCAGAGACCTTAGGACCCATAGGGACCCACAGGAGACGTGAGGACCCATGGGACTCATAGGAGACAAAGGGACCCACAGGCACCCATAGAGACCTATAGGAAACTTCGAGACTCATGGGGCCCATAGGGGCCTACAGGAGACATAGGGACCCACAGAAACCCATAGGGACCCATGGGACCCATAGGGACCCATAGGAGACAAAGGGACCTACAGACACCCATAGGAACCTGTAGAGATCCATAAGAAGCTTAGAGACTCATAGGGCCCTTAGGGGCCTGCAGGAGACATAGGGACCCACAGACACCCATAGAGACCCACAGGAACCCACAGGAACCCATAGGAGACAAAGGGACCTATGGGAGACATAAAGACCTATAAGGACCCATAGGGACCCACAGGACCCATAGGGACCTATAGGAGACATAGGGACTCACAGAGATCTACAGAGACCCATAGGAGACATATACAGACCCATAGGAGATATAGGGACCCACAGAGACCTATAGGAGACAAAAGGACCCACAGACACCCGCAGGGACCCATAGGAGACATAGGGACCTATGGGAGACATAGGGACCCATAAGGGCCCATAGGGGCCCACAGGAAACATAAGGACCCATGGGACCCATAGGGACCTATAGGAGACAAAGGGACCCACAGACACCGATAGGGACCTACAAGGACCTATAGAGATCTGCAGGAAACTTAGCCGTTCATAGGACCCATATGGGCCTATGGCAGGCATAGGGACTCATAGACACCCATAGGGACCTATAGGGATTTATAGGGACCTATAGAGATCTGTAGAAAACATAGAGACTCGTAGGAGCCATAGAAACTTATGGAAGATGTAAGGACCCATGTAAACAGACCCATAGGAACCCATAGGAGACACACAGATCCACAAAGCTCCATTAAAACATAAAGAAAGACACAGGGACCCATAGGGAACTACAGAAATCTATAGGAGACACAGGGATCCCGGGGACCCATAGGAACCCATCGGAGACAAAGGGACCCATATAGGGCAGATGGGGCCATATAGGGCAGATGGGGCCATATAGGGCAGTTAGGGGCCCATATAGGGCAGATGGGGCCATATAGGGCAGTTAGGGGGCCCACATTGGGCACCTAGAGGCCCATATGGGACACTTAGGGAGCCCATGGAGCTGCTTTAGGGCCGAGGGAATCCCTCGGGGCGCACTCCCTCATCCCAAACCCCCTCAGAACCACCACGAGGAGCTGCCCCTCCCCATTCCTCCCACTCACCGCTACGGGGCGAAGTGGAGCACGGGGAATGGATCCCTCTACCACCACGGGGCGGCTATGGGGCGGCTATGGGGCGGCTATGGGGCGCGCACCGCGCGCTGGGCCCAGGCTCAGCTCTCCACAGCGAAGGGCGTGGCCGCGCCGCCTTCCCGCCCTCCGCGCTCTCAGCCAATCAGCGCCCGCCTCCCTTCGCGCCCGACGCCGCCGCCACGCGCACGGCCGTTAGCCCCGCCCCCGCCCTCCCGGCGCGCGTGCGCGTGCGCGGCCATGACGTCACATCCGCCTCAGCCCTCCTCTCGCAGCCAATCGGAGCGCGGCTACGGCGCGCGGGCCAAGGGCCGGGGTCAAGGGTCAGAGCTCAGCCAAGATGGCGGCGGCGGCGCCGGGGCGGTGAGCGAGCGGCGGACCGGGACCCGACCCCCCCCCCCCCCCCCCTCACAGCCCTGTGGCCCCCAGTTATCCTTTCCCTCTGTGTCCCCCCGCTGCTCTCCGCTACCTCCGGGCTCCCTCGGACCCCCGTAGGCCGCCATCCCTTGCAGCGTGTCCGGGGGGGGCTCCGGTGGGATCCGGTTGCGGCCTAGCAGGCCCCGGTTGCGGCCTAGCAGGCCCCGGTTGCGGCCTAGCAGGCCCCGCCCGCCTCTCATCTCTTCCCCGTTTCCCCCCCCCTCAGGCGGCGGCCGGTGCTGCTGCTGCTGCTCGGAGCCGTTTATCTCGGGCTCAGCGCGGCCGTGGATCGGAGCAACTTCAAAACGTGCGAGCAAAGCAGTTTCTGCAGGTGGGGACCGGGTACTTTTAACCACCCCCCCCCCCGGTACCCGTTGTGTGTGTGGGGGG